GAAAATTTAGGGCTGTGCAGTCCTTTAGTAAGGTGGGAAGGAAATAACAGCAGTGAGAAAATGATGATAAATTAACGAATTAGATCTGCAGAATTTCAATGGGTAAGTATCGGTGATATCGTTAACCGTTGGTCGTAGACTTGATATCGGTCCATGAAATCAGACACCGTAGGCAAAGTTATAATACTAGACTAATTGCCTTATGTCCTTAAATTATAAATATAACACAATGAAATAATTTCGATAACAATGTGTTGAGGAATTTAATCGAATATAAACTAGTTATAAACTTTATACGCAAAAAAATCAGAATTTGAGTGTTTAGGGGAATATATTGTATGCGAATTGTTAGAAGCTGAAATTCTCTTTTGTTTGAACGAAATACATTTCCGTCTTCAAGAAAACCTTGCATCAGTGTAGTACAATATTATATTCCGCGAAATGCTGAGACCTCCATCATATAAGCTATTGGTAGTTATTTCAATGAACTTTTATAATCACTGAGTAAGGCCAGATCAGATCTTAACATATGGCACAACTGACGCCTAAGTGTACGTTTCACTCTTCATTATAATCTTAGTTGCCTTAGGGTTTTGATAGTGTAACATGCTGATACTTATCAGGAAATAGAACCTCGATAGATTTAAATTTTTTCTTAATTTTTTTTTTGAAACCTTTTAACTACTATTCCCACTAGCTCGGTGGCATGGCTAAAAGTGTTAGTTCCCAAGCGCTTTGGTCCATATTTCGCAAATCAATCAAGAAGGAAGTGCTTAAATATTTCCACCTCGTATTCTTTCATACAGGTTCTGCAGCTGGTATTCGGTTAGATTTTCTACCTTGCAGCGTGAACACCGATAAGGAAAAACCTTGTTAAAACTAGGGAGATGCTCGCCTTACCTAAACAAAGAGCTGACTTGATATCTTACGATCGAGCTTGGGCCAATAGTATTTCGCGACAGCGCATAAAATGATGGTAGCCCTACGCCAAGCGCCCGCAAAGTCCACCTATCTGGTCTTGAACACAAGAGGAGAGCGGAGCACCGACCCCTTCCTTATTTTTCTTTTGATAGCGACGCTAGGGTGCCTTTCCTTGCCAGCTCTTCAGCTTTACAGTTACGTGCGATTTCGCTGTGGCCTGGCACCCATACTAGTCCTATCACAAATGGACTAAATGCTATTGTTAACGAGGTTAGGTATTCTTGAACGAGCCTTGAAAGCGTGACCCTTCTATTATATATGATAAGACTGATTTATTTTGAACAATTCGAATTCAAGCTCCAAATAGAACACAGTTTAACCCGCCTTATGAGATTTTTTTGCAGTTCCGACTAGTCAATATTTGTAAAATATAAGGGATGAGGCTGCGAAGTTAGCAGTTAGTTTTGGCGGTGTTGAAAATAGAACATTATTTTTTTCGCGTGCGTGTCGGTGTAAGGGAGTGCATTTGTGCGTGCGAAGGAAATGGGTCGGTTTTTAAAGTGCATTTAATAGCGCATAGGAGCGCACTCACACATACATATGTACATTTGCACTATCAGGTGTGTAGAGGCGCAGGCAAGGCGGCATGTTGTTTGTAAATAAAGTTGTACATGTACATAAGTGCATGTGTATGTGTGTGTGTGTCAGTTGGCAAACTACTGCACATGCATGTTGGTTTGTTTTTCCACTTGATTTTAGTTGTTATTGTTGTTTGCAAAGGTTTTGTGGCTAACGAGTAGCCGGTAAAATGTTTGAAAAGCAACCGCCGTCGCTCAGGCAGCACCACTCAGCGAACATTAAAAATTTATTAATTAATTGCCGACTACAACAACTATAACAGCTGCAACAACAACAACTTGCATGTGAAGTTGTAGTTTTGTGCAACTTTCTTTTTTCCCTGCTGTTAACTGCAAGTCATCGAAGCATTTGCTTTTCTTTTTGTCTTTATTTGTTATTGTTGCTGTTATTGTAAGGTTTTGCATTCATTTCGCAATTTGCATTTCATTGTTTATTTGTGAGAAAAGGTGCATGTGCTGCCATTGTTTGTTGTTGTAGCAGCTTTTTGATTTTCTGGGTATATAGGGTTCTAGGTGAATCGCTGATTTAATTGCGAGCACCACATGTTAAGAGACCACACATACACATACCAACATACATATGCATGCATGCACTTAAGTGCGAGAGCATGTAATTTAGCAAAACGAGCTGAAAATAAAAAAAGTGCATGCCACGCAAAGCTGAAAATGCAGAAAAGAGCAATGGAAAAATGCTAAAAAAATTCTAATTTTTTTATACTTCTCTGCATTCAAAGCCTCAGTAATTAACTGGATTACGTTCAACGCTCACGCATTTGATTTTATATACAATTTAAGCTCATTAATGTTTAACGGGAAATTAAATATTTTGTGGCTTTTTCCATTTCTACTCGTTTTTTTTACAATAAAAAACTATTTTTATTGCAGAGAAAAATTATATTTTTCACTCTTTCAAGCAATTTCGTACTTGTATCGACTTAAAAGGTATTTTATTTAATTATTTTCTATAAAAAAGCCATTCTATTATCTTACTTATTTTTGAGATAGTTCTCGAGTTTGAGCAATCCGTTTCATTTTCAATGAGCTGAATTATGCTACTAATCGCATCAAATATTTTCACAATGGATTGTAACGAACAAAAAATCGAACACATTTTATACATCGATTAATAATTCGTGTCGACTGATGCATATTTTTTCCGAAGAATATAGCGCAAATTAACAGCTTGTAGCTATGGTTCTTCAAAAATCGAAAATGTTTGGCTTAAGGGCTATTTGCTATCAATGACTTCGAAATTTTCTAGTATTGAAAACACTCATGAAATTTAGAGAAAAAAACAATAAAACAAAATCCAAATTTAGACTAAGAATAGATACAATCAAATGGTTTGATAATATAATAAATAGCTGTCTTCAAATAATCGTTATGTTTCGAATATTTGAAATTTTTAATTGGCTAAAAATTGGTTGAACGTACGCAAACTAATTCTTCCAAAAAGCCCCAATCTTAATGCTCTAAAACCCACAAGTCGATATACTTAGATAATATGTTTTCATCGACTCTGTTTTCTATAATTTTCCATTCCGATTGAGAAACTTTATGTTTATAGCACCAATTCTTGATAAATAACCGTGGTTAGTAGTTTTAAATAATTTGTTAGTGAACAAGTGGTATTGGGCCATATTGTCTATATGTGTCTACTTGTTGTAATTATAATATGTTATAGTAGTATTATACTCTCACCTAACCGGTTGTTGGTATCACCTAAAACTAATCGACATAATTATAAAGTTATATACATATATGGTATATAAATGATCAATATTACGAAATTTGGGGGATTCTTTGTGCAAGCAATAATTTAAATAAAAATTAAGATATTTTGATGAAACCTGGTGCACCATGAAAAGGTTGGTATTGCAGATAGCCGGAATCGGACCATTGCCACTCCCTTAAAACGCCATTGACACAAATTAAGATACAAAACTATAATTTGGTATAGGGGATCGCAGTGGGGGATCATCTGCAGTTTCAAAATTATTAAAAAGTGGGTATCTCATAAACCTTTAATGCCAGGTTTGCTTAGACAATTTTTTTTTAATTTTACAAACTACGAAATAAATACTCACTAAATAAATACGTCAAAAACATTACATTTGACAGCCCAAATGCTACAGATAGCCTTTATTGATCCGTTGTCAAAATTTGAAAATGGGCGTGGTACCACCCACCTTTAGGTGAAACACCATATTTTAGAACCTACTCGACCAATTTCAATAAAACTCAGTATCTTGACATTCATGGTGTGAAAATCGCGCAAATTCGGTCAACAACCACGCTTACTTCCCATATAACACATTTATAAATTCTATTTGATTCTTTCACTTTCCAGTATACAAATCAAGCACCAATGAATAAATCGGAATAAAACCTTGCACAAAAATTGTCAAAATAGGACCATAACTGTTCTAGCTTCCAGATACCGAAGATGTGGAACCCCGCGCCTATGGCTAACTTTGTTCCGAAATGATTAAGAAATCTGTGAGATATGATATTGTAATTTGGACAGAATATTTTCTTGATAAAAGTATGTCTGTCTCTCAAAAATGGCTTGAATCGGGTTAGTACTTTTCTTAGCTGCCATATACCTAATATAGAGTTTTTGGAACTTCCACTTGACTTTATACCGCATGTGCCTCGCCTTGACCTTTGCAAATTGCTAGAGTGTAAACCGGTTACACCCGAACTTAGCCCAGAACAGAGTATATTAAGATTAGCAAGAAATTTGTAACACCCAGAAGAAAACGTGGAAGACCCTATATAAATCTATATAAATTATCAGCATGACGAGCTGAGTCGATTTAGCCATGTCCATCTATCTGTCTGCATACATTCACGCGAACTAGTCCCTCAGTTTTTGAGATATAGATCTGAAAATTTGTACATGTCTTTTTTCCCCAAGAAGTCATCGAGATCCTCAGGTTTTACTTGTGTTACTACAGCTGGAGACGTCGTCGGAGAAATTACTACAAAAAAACAGTTGGAATCTTCATTCAGAATTCCAGGTATTCTAATTTAAACATATCTCAGTAGTTTTATAAAGTTTCAAGCTCTGAATTCATTACGGTTTCTCAGTAATCTAGATATAATAGATCTTTTTAAGCTTTACTCTACACCGTGCAGAATTTCACGAAGGTAAGTGGTATAATTATTTTAACTGTGAATTAAGTAAACCGTCTATTTCTTAAAATATGTTTGATAGATTAGGTCTGAAAATATAGGTTTGGAGTCTGTATTGGTAGTTTTATTTCTTTCAGTTCTTAGTTAGTTCTTTTCAGATTCTATTATTTTTAAATATTATTATGAGAAGCTGTCAAGTTCAATATACAGATGTAAGTGGCAAAGTCCTTACACTTAACTTCGACTTTACACAGTTAAGGTTCCACAATTGTTCGTCGTGTCGATTAGGTTAAAAAGCTGACGTTCTCTGACTTTTTTACATTTAATGTATTTTTCACATATTATAGCATTGTTAAAATCTTGTCATTTACATATAGGTATATAGGTATGTATACGCATAAATATATATAGGTGGGAGTGTCGTAGACCTTCGTATCAATCTATAAACGATGAAGTGAATAGTGTTCTTGATTGTCTTCGACGCGTCTCTTCTCTTTCACCGTATTTGTTTGGCATATTTTCCCTTAGACATGACAATAATATGTCAAATTTATAGAAATGTGAAGGCCAATGACATGTGCACGGCGGGGTGCACTTTCTGCAACGTTCTTTCAAAACAGTAGGGTCTGCCTTACGATCAGGCACGAGTAACGAGAATACCGTCGGCGCTTTCAAATGTCGATCCTCAGTCCAAAAGCACGAACATGGTGGTATACAATAACAAGGATTTGGCGGTAGAATTTGATCTGGTTTCGCTGGTTCTTTCGGCTTGCATTTGTAGAGACGATAACGCTTGACGCCACCAAAGAGTTCGGTATGTTCGCGTTTACGTGCCAGCCAACGTTCGAGCAGATCCCAGTGTGAATAATTTGGACTATTCTCGCGTAGCAATTGCATGCGACGCCAGAGGTCCGAACGGCGTACATCCTGATATTTTCGTCCACTTTTCGTCTCAAATAATTTATACAATTCGTAATAGAACTCGGGCGGCAGCGAAATGCTGCGTATATACTTTGTCATTTCGTAATAGAAGAGACCACGTATACCGTAAGCGATATGCTTAATGTCTGCGAAATTTTTTATATTCATAGCGCTCAGCGCTTGTGCATCGACCAACAATAGTTTCTGACCGGTTATAAGATTGATATGAAATGTGTTCTGCAAACGGATCGGTATTAAAATTAGTAAAAACTTCGATGAAATCAAAACGGGCTTACCATATACTGTGGGTAACCATATTTGCGTATCCACTTGCAGACATCCAGCGTCGTCCACTTATACACTGACGGCAAGGGTAATGCATCTATGAGCTGTATGCACAAATTGAGAAGACTGTCGGGCGAAACTTTGAAGACTATCGGCAATGCGTTCTTATCAAAACCCTTTTCGATACGCAAAAACTCACTCGACCTGAATTTGTAGATCCTTATTGGATGGTTCTGCTTGTGTGTACTATGTTGTTCCTTAACGAATTTTTCGTCTGCACTCGCAAAGATCTCACGCATCCCGTAAAGCTTTTACTTTGCCAAGTGAAAATTGCAATAAAAAATGTGTGTATAAATCTTAACATAAATAATAAAAGTAACAAGTTCTCTATTTTGACTTTTGACTTTCACATTTGAAAGTTCCTCTGTCAATTACAAAGTTACACAGTGTTGGGAGTTTTTGTTTTAAGCATTTTTTTGGATGTGGAGAGAATTTTTAGCTCTTTGTTGAGGGTACAGTTCTAATAGATAACTATAAGAAATGTACTCTTCTTAAGACGAATATTTTAAATACTTCCTAAGGCCCCAAAAAACCCTCAACTTCTTAAATATGCTTACCCCCAACAAGCCATCAAGGAAATTAATAATATTGACCGATTTACTGACGTCATTTAAGCCTCTGAAAGCTGTTCCTAACCAAACGACTAACGTTTCTCTTCTCAAACCCAAAGCATCGCTTAAAATAGTTTTGCCGAGACTGGAACTCAAAAATATATGAAAGACATGTTCGCATCTTGAAACACAATTTTAAAACATCGATATTAATTTAAAAAAAAAAATCTTTTCACGTCACTTTAAACATGGCTAAAAAGCTGGGTCCGCAAATATTAACTGGTAGATTATATAGGGGAGGAGAAAAAGAAAACGAATATGATGGCCATTTTGCTATAAATCCATTCTTATACCATTTTTTTCGTATATAATTTTGCTATGAGTTCTGTTTGAGCGACTCTTGAGAAATAGTATTACATACTGTTCTTTTGGAGCTAATTAGATATTTTGCAAATATCAAGACTCTCAACAATACATGTGTTAAGTAAGCCGGAAGAAGATAGTTGTGATAAGAATAATTATAACTATATACTCATTTCAGAATTCCTAGATTTTTTTATTATTGGGTGCAAATTTGATTTAAGGAAGTTAAAGAAGGTACACTGACAAAACGAGCTTGAACCTTTGTCATTTATTTATTCATAATTTTCATTACCACTTAAAGAGTGAGCAACCGCACCGAAGTGGTGTTACTACTATAACTTGCAAAACTCGCCCTATAAGCGTTCGAACCATAAGTAGATTTTGTTCTGACATCGGCAGCATATTTAACCGGAAAGTTTCTCTTCAAGCATTGCAGAAGATCATTGGATTTGAAATACCTGCTCGGCCAATGACATGTACAGGGCGGCAGACAGGTCTTGCAGGTGCTCATACGGTTGTCAATCGCTGATACACGATGCGAACGCAGTACCGTCAACACCGTTGGTTTTTTGTAACTAATTTCGGCCCATTCACACGTGCAAATCGAAGGACATTTGCAGAAACTAATTTCAGATGATTCCAATTCCGGTGATTCCTGGCAAGGTACTGTACAGCGATAAAGATTTCGACGACGCACACCACCTATCAGCTCCACAGTAGCCGGTTTGAGTTGAAGCCAACGTTCGAGTAAATCCCAATGGGTTGTAGGCTCATCATTTTTGCGCAGCATTTGCAGTTGGCGCCAGAGTTCAGTTCGTCGCGTGATGTCGTAAAGGTAACCAGTCTTCACCTTGAATAATTTGTACATTTCATAGTAGTATTGTGGTGGTAGTGAGATGCTTCGCAGAAACTTCGTCATCTCGAAGAAAAATAGCTCTCGAATGCCAGCTGCAATGTGTTGGATGTGACAGAATATTTTAATATTTATCGCGATTAGAGCTTGCGCGTCCAGTAGCAAGAGCTTACGTCCTGTTATTAGATTTACACGTAAGGTGTTCTATAAGTAGAGATCACATGGTTTTTTTGCACGATTATTTTTTTCAATATTTACCCCACCTGATATTCTGGATAACCATATTCCCTCATCCACTTACAGCAATCCGCATTCGTCCAGTCGTAAATTTTCGGTAGTGGCAACGCGTCCACTACCTTAGCGGCCAAATTGAGTAGCGTATCGGGCGTGACTTTAAAAACTATCGGTAGTTCCTGTTCTTGGAATTCCGCTTGTTTCATACAAACAGTGTAGGGTTTGAATTTATATGTTTGCAGCTCTGAATGGGTTTCCTTCGTTTTCGGCTTTCTTCTAACAAACTTCTCATCGGATAACTGAAAATAGCCGCGTTTATGCAAAGAGCTGATCTGCTTCATGGTCGAAGCTCAATTTAAATTTTTTGGCTAAATAAATTTTTATAAAAATAATTATTAAAAAATTCTTCAACGTTCACTTGCAATCACATGAGATTTGTTCACCAATTTAATATATATGCGCAACTGCTTAATTAATTTTTTTGTGAAAATAATTTGTATTTCAAAAAAGATAAAAAAAAGTCTGCAAAATTTTAAAGAATATTCTTTTGTACGTGCTTACGTTTGCTATTTGCGTGTTGAAAAAAAACTAGAGCTCACGTAGTGACTGATTTTTGAAATAACGGAATAGAAAACTTTTCGAATATTATTGGGTGATCCATATGCAATGATTTTTAAAATGGATTTTTGATTGTATTTGGTACTGTCTTAAACGATACCTATTGAGTGCGCTGACGTCTGGAGGTTGAAAGTCGCTACAGTCTTTTCCGAAGCTCGTCTGAGAACCCGAACGTACTGTTTGATTTATTAGACAATTTTCAGGCGTTGCTTAGTTTAGGTTAGGTTATAAAGGGTTCTCCAATAAGAGTGATATGATTTAACAAAAAAAACACACTTATTGTTAAGGAAATTCAATTTTTTTTAATTTAGTGTGAAGTACAATCTATATATTTAAGTTCTGAATATAACATCATTCCAATTCGATGAACCCAATTTTCGGGTACTTTTTCCATTAAATCAAGTCGTATGTCATGAATATCCCTTACCTATATTTATTAGAGATGTCTGCAACTGACTTTAACGGACTCATCAAAACGTAGTCGTTTTTCAGAAACCTTCACTCCGTATAAATCTTATCCAATTTTTCCCTGCTGGATGTTTGAAATATTAATACATAAATGAGACTGTACATATATAGCAAATAACATAATGGCACGCTGAAGTGTGCATTTACCAGCTCAAGAACTATTGTGTTAGCCAGTTTTTCACGATTTATTCGTAAGTGTTTGCCGTAACAAAGCAGCACTTGCACTTAAGAGCCAGAATATCTACATATAACCTCGTATATAACTCTGCCGATGGAAAATACATATGCATATGTGTAGGTATGCCACCACCTAAGCCCTATTTCTCCCTACTGTGATTTCAGACTAATCGATGCCAAGTATATCCAACGCCACTTTCACTCAATTTGTGTAGCAGTGGCAAATACACCTCGGTGCCATAAAACTTCAGCAGTCACAAAAGCATTGCCAGCAAAGTAGCTGGAACAAGTGTCAAGAGAACAATTCAAGAAATGTTTTGCTGACGAAGCAATGAGCTATTCGGAAACGAGTACATTTGCATTGACATTCTTCTTGCAACAGTTTGAGGGAAATATTTTCGTTTGGAATGTGCGTTTTGCGCTTTGTGAAAGATGATTTCATTCAGTGTCAATGAAAGAAGGCTGTAGTATTCATACTGTATTCATTTATAGATACATAGTAAAGGTTAGGGACGGTTTTCTAATACTCTATAGAAATTCCGTAGAGATGCAGAACTTGCAAGAAGTATGAAGGTGCCAGTCGATCTCCAATGCGTTGAGGAAAGAATTTGGAATTTTTATTGATACTCTAGGATCCTAGGCTACGGTGCAGTCACAGTTTTCCAAATACAAAATAAAGGAAGTTTTGCTCTGACGTCTAATATGGCATCCAGTATTAATCTTGATTACTATCTGACCGTCCCCTAAAGAAGCTTCATTTGATTATATAGTATAGTAAAGATACTTCGACATATGCTCTCATTTTTTCTGGTTATATCAAGCCACAATAGCGGTTGATATACCAAATATAGGCATGTTATAGTGGAAAAGAAGAAATATCTATTAAGGCAGACTGAAAGCAATTATCGATTTAACCCTTAAGTTAGTAACCGCGTACCCGGGTACCCAACGCGGTGTATTTGTGTGAATAGCTTAAAAAAATTCTATATTTCATTTTAAGCTCTCAAATCGTCGTTTTTTAACTTAAAAGAAAGCTATTTGTGAGTTCATTTAATTGATTTTTTTTTTTAATAAGCTTAAACTCTAGCCATCGTCTTATAAGCACAGTGGAAAGCATAGGAAAAAAAATTGTATATAATTTCTATTAATGCATGCAACTAAATTTTATTTAAAAAAATTAAGAAATATTACACTTTTTTTATAATTAATGACATTGAACACATTTTACACGATTAACTGAGTGCTCGTCACACACAGGTTGGTGACAATTGGCACAGGCCTTACGTGCCTTTCGCCGTCTTCTTATTGGCAAAGCATTGCAGACATGACAAGATCCTGTTACTTTTCTCCATCCGGTTTTATCTTTTGGAGTCTCTGGACAAGGATTTATCACGAATGTTTCTGTCAGTATATGGCCTAATACACTTTCAATGGCAATCTTTGCTGAGAAGTGGCGCATTACTTGTGGATTCGCCGTGCGATGTTCAATCTTCGGCAATGCTAGTTCTTCACTTAGTTTACGCATAAATTGACGCCGTTCTGTCGTTTTTTTTGCCAATCATTTCATTATTTTCATAATAAATTATATATGCCGCAAGTGAAGAAATATCTAGCATGTTGAAGAACATTGCCATTAGCCATCTCGAAGATCGTCGTTGACTGGTGTATCTCCGCACCATTTGGTCCATTGTGTCAACTCCAGCTTTATATTTATTATAAAAATTTATTATTTCTGGTTTTCGTTTAGCGTCATCACCAACTGATATATCTGAATACATTGTAGATATCAGAATGACATCTTTATTTTTTTAGGAACGTAGGAACACATGGTAACCTTTTCGTGAAATCCAAAAATTGTCGAATACTGCTCCCGTGTCTTATTCGCTCCCATAACACTAGGGATGTAAGGTTTATTCTTTTTTAGCGTGCCAACAATGGTAATATTCCATGACAACAAATGTTTAGAAACTGGTACAGTAATAAAGAAGTTATCCATGCAGATGTTTCTACCACTACCTCGATATGGAGCCGCCAATTCTTTCACTACTCTTTCACCCTGATTCTTTTCTCGAGTATTATCTGTTTTACCAGTGTACATAATCCCTTGCAAAGTATATGTGTTTTCTGCATCACAAATCCACCAAATCTTTATACCATACTTAGCTGGTTTCGATGGAATATATTGAGTAAAGAGAAGAACGAATAAATTTCGGGTTTCGTAACGGGCTTCTATTGATGCTGTGAGTTTGGATGGTTAGCATTGTACTCTTGGAAAATTGTTTCAGCTTTTTTATTAGTGTGACGGACGATTATATCAACCATTTCGTGGTAAAAATTCTTTTGAAAGTCTCGCTAATTGACAACGTTTCCGTACTGCGATGAGGCCCACTCCGCTGGCGTACAACATTATGAGCTGCAGTCTGATGCTGAGTTGGTGGATTTTTGTTCCGCACTGTTTTATCATTGGCAATAAAACTCCCAGATGGTTCTTGAGCTCATCCTAAAATAATAATAACAACATTAATTAATTATTCAAGAAAAATAATTATTATTTCAACCATTGCTAAGAACAAATATTTTACTAGCTTCAAGTACGCCCAGCAGAGTCAGTAATTCAAGCAACCGTTTTCGTTTCGGTTTCGCACCACGTTTACTCTAGTGCATGATGTGCATCCTCAGTGACACCGTACAGTACATACCGAAGACGCTGTTGCTGATGTGGAGCAAAGTATAGAAGAGTTTACGGAATGATCTTGGTTTGAGGGCTTACAAAATCCAACTCGTGCAGTTCCAATTAAAGCCGAACAAACATCAAGGGCGTTGCACATTCGGTGAATGGCCCAAAACGGAATAGCCAAAGATCCTGATTTTTAAAATAAATTTTTGTACAGCGATGAAGCTCACTTTTGGTTGAATGGGTACTTTAATAAGCAAAATTATCGCATTTGGAATGATGAGAATGCAAAAGCCAGTGTTGAGATGCCGTTAGATCTCCCGAAGGTCACTGTTTTGTTTGCTCTATGGGCTGCTATTTGTCCATATTTTTTTTAAAATGAAGCCGGCCACAAAGTTTCAGTCTATGTGGGAACCTATGGAGCAATGATTAATGACTTTTCGTGCTTAAATTGGAGATGTTCATGTCTACGACCTTTGTTCAACAACACGGCGTTACATGCCATACAGCCAACGAACAAACAATTTATTAAAGACATCTTTTGGTGAATGCATTCTCTCGCGTCGTTGGCCTGCGCCATGATCTTCAAGATCATACATTTAACTGAACTATTTTTATGGAGTTATGTGTAGCCGCTTGTCACGCAGTTAAGCCCGAGACAATTGACGACTTTGAAGAATATTCGGCGCGTTGTTGCTGACAAATGCCCCAATTGGTGCAGAGAATAGTCAGAAATTAATTTTAAAACATAATGGCAAACCTAATTTTATAAAAAAGCAACATTTTTTTTTGCACCAACATTAAACTCTAAGCGTTTTATTTTTTCTTGAAAACCTTGTCTAAAAACACCCTTTAGGTGGTGTTGTATTGTGATAACTACAAATATATGTATGTGTTTATGTCGATTCGATTCTCTCTTACTTATCGATTGCAAGCATTTTTGTTGTGCTTTGCCTTTTAACGCGTCAATAAACTGGAAATTACATCGCTGGCAAGTGGAGCTCTGTCTTTTTCTCCCATACTTTTTCAACCACAAACATGGATCACTTGAATGCCACCACGAAACGGCGATTGAACCTCAAACAAAATACAGCACACATATACACTCACACACAAACAATGCACCATTACGCATGTGCACTCGTGCTTTTATGAATGCGCTTATCTGGAGTTAAGTATTCGTATGTTCAAGTAGCAATACCGACCACTGCGGCTGCGAAAACCACAACGAGCCATTTAGCTAGGCATTCGAGTGCTCAGTCAGTCAGCGAGTCAATCAAACACTTGAATAGTTGATCCTCAATATGACAGCATAAAGTTGAAAGAAAATTTAAAAGGAGATAACGAGTATGGAAAAATGAAAAGTGCAAAAGTTTAGCTTGTAAAGTAAATAAAAATAAATGCATACGCATACGGAGCATAAGTTGAAAATGAAATCGAAGTATATATACTCACACGCACATGCGAACAGCCACACTTGCTAACCGATATTTCAATAATGCAACGGCATTGCTGGTGTCATTGCTCCTGAGCCTTCTATACATTCTATTTATTCACTCATTCATGTATAAACATTCACGATAACATACTTACATACGTATAATATATGTATGTATATTCAACTCTGCAAAATATGGTGGCCCGTTTAATG